ATCTCTCTTGTATGCATAATAAAATCTTTAGATAGCGCTTTTGCTTCCTATTTCTGTTTTAAATAATCTATATTAGTCCTGCATGTATGAGAAGTAATAGCTGCATGTGAATGGGCATCTTTTAATACTATTGAAAAACAAAGAGAATAACCCTGATTTACTGATGACTTAGATTGCTGTAAACAATTCTGTGTATCAGCCTTTGATCTGTATTTTCTAAACTTCATAACAAAACTTCAAGAAAAAACTATTAGCTGCAAATTAAACATTCTCATGGAAGCCAAGAATTATTTTTCAGGACAGAGGGCTCAATTTCCCAATCTCAGGTGTATGATTAAAATCAATTAAATCACTCTTCCAATGTCAGCGGCAAGATTCTCCTGACAAATGAAATTATGCGAGAAAAGTGTTCTCTTCACTCTTCAACCCTTTCTCAGCATCACTCACATCCACAAATGAGATCAAAATTTTCAGCTCGGGGATTTCAGAGATATTTTCCATAAGAACATGAAAAATCCCAGGAACCCTATGTAAGTAGACTTTATAGTCTCTAGTGGTGAGATTTTGATGGCCTCTGTATGTTAGATATATTCATGACTAACTAAAATGAAAAGTTACAGAGTGAAAGTTAACTATTTGGGGACCATACTAGCATTTTTTTCACATATTAAAGTTTTAATGGCAGAATTATGTGCTAGATCCTATGATACATGTAGTAACCTTTCTGTGCCTCTTTTCATTCACAAGGAAGTCCCTGGTGGTATTTTCTGATTGAAAAACTGAATTTTATCAATTTCTTTCAGTCGCTTGCACATATAAATCTGGCAGGCAGGCCAGACTTCAAATGACCACACCATTTGCAAAGGCCCTAAAGGGTTAATAGTTATTTACAGTAGCATTCCTTGCAACAAAACAGTGCATTTCTCTTAAAAGGAAATATTTTCACAGGAAATAACAGTTGGAACACAGAGATATCTCATTTCCAGAGGTGTTCTGATGTGGTTGCACTGTAACTTCAGCAAATTATTTACCTCTTAATTTGTTAAAACATATGGGCTTAGAGGTAACTTTGCCCATGAGGCATACATCTATATTATATGCTTGTTTGGTTTGACTTCATTTTCCTTGGAGACTTGAACAAATGTTTTCTGTATTTCAGAAGTTTCCCCCCAACCACTCACGTGTTTGAGGCAGCAGTGTTACATACGTATTTTGTTTCTTTTGACTGTGTTTCAAAAGGAACATTCTAATTTACAGAACAACATGCAGAGTGTAGTAATATTTCAGGAGGTGAAAAGCGGCCTTTATTCACTTGCAAGAGAGATTCTTTCCCGATCAGTCCAGCCTAGAAGTGCCTGATCCATCCCAGGGGTTCTGTTTTTTTGGTTTCTTTTTCAGCTAACTGCAAACGGTCTATATCTAAACAAAGTGGTAAGCAAAGGCCTTTCATACATCATCAATATGAAAAGGCAATGTGTGAAATGTTACAACATGGTCCATGTGAGGGTAGAAGAAGAATAACAGTTACCACAGGTTTATCAAAAGTATTTTTACTAGAAACAAATTAAAACATATAGACTACTTAGATGTTCTTAGATGACATGTAAACTAGCGATATTTGGTAACTGTGATCTTGGATGGATTATGCTTCATACACAGGCTAGCAGCTAGCAGATTAAGAGGTTGCACTTACTCAAAACAATTGGCTAGGTGTGTGCCATCCACAGTGGTGCAAATAGAAATCATTTCTTGATGGTCCTGCACTCATGGGAGGGACACAAGGAGTGGGGCACGTGACCTCCCTACGTGACCCTCCATGATCCCCTCCACCCCGCCCCCAGCTTGGGGTCCCCACGCTCTCCCCATCCTCTCCTACAACCCCCTTTGTATATATAAACATCAACATGCTTAATTACTCACTTTCCCCCAAAATATGTAGTATTCAGTCTGTTTATATGGAATATGGAAGTTGGGTGAGGAGCCATTTCAGCATATGCATGACTTATTAAAAGACAAATTTTAAATAGAACCGTATCCTAAACTGCTTTATGGTATTGTACCCAAACAATGCATTTCAACGTCCTTTATAGGAACAGACTCCTGAAACTCTTACCATCCCACAAAAGTGGTCCATAGTCATGCAAATAGTCCCATTGTCTTCAATGGGATTGATCAAATGATTAAGGGTTTACAGGATTAGGTTCCAATTTTGTAAATTGTTGTGGATGAAACTGACAATGCCTGAGCTGTCAGATCAGAAGGAGTTTCTTTCGAATAAAAGTGGGCAGATGTGTGATAAGTCTTAGCTCCGTTGTTAAGATGAGGAACATATTTTCTTGGCAGTTCTTGGCAGATTCCTGAGGTGGCTGGTTTAAGGCATTATAATCTTCACTTATAGTTCTCTCACCCACAAAGCTGGAAAATGAGGCATTTGTTTTCTTTGTTTTGCTGCTCCAGTTCCAGTTAACAAAATGCATGTTAGACTAGTTTGGCTGCAAAGAAGAATTCTGTGTACACTGGGAACAACACCTGATTCCTGTAAGGCTGCAGAACTGGGCTGACATCAGAATCCAAACATCCTCTTGTCAGTGCAAGCAGAGGCATTCCTCTACTGATTTGGACTTGCTGTGATACAGTATGGATGTCATGGATAATTCAGACCAATGGGGAGAAACAGAATCAAAAACACTGTTTAAACACCTTCCATCCCCTCCACTCTTCTCATCTTGAGGACTCCCAACCAACGTAACAGCACAATACATATGCTAACAAACTTAAACAAAGCCCCACCCCTGGATGGCAGGGCTAGCCCTAAGTCTTTCTGGTACCCTATACCCATTAAAAATCTCTTGCTGGTACTGCGTACTGGAGGGTACCATCTGATTTGCATTCCGGGCCATCCATGATATCATCACCAATGAGGTGGATAAAGTGTTTAGAAGTATAGCAGAATTATTTGGCCCATAGGCCTAAATGGCCACTTTTAATGATATCAGTATGATGCACAGCAGAGATAATGAATAAGAACCAGAAGCATTTTCCACAGCCCCATGTCGCGGGTAAAGCAGTAAAGATGTTAAAGTTTGGCTGAAATAAGGTCAATTATTTTTTAATTTTATTGGATCTTGGGCTGAGTTGCTATTATCAAGATTCTCCAACCCTAATCAGCATTCAAACGGTTTATGGCCCACAAGAAAGGTTTCAGCAAGCACAGCTAATTCCAAGTTGGGATTTACACAACTTCCCTCACTTCGTGTATCGTCTTTTATTACAGTATTGAGGAACTGCAATGAAATTTTATTTCTTTGGAATTGACATACAATGATTGAAGTTCCCAAGAGTAAAACCAGGCAAGAAATCCTCCAGAGGGAGTTTAAAGGCTGGAAGTTGTCTTCTCCTGTGTTTTTTTTTTTTTTTGAGAAATCAACACCTCAAAGTGTTTTTTGGTTTTCCATTTGTTTATTCCAGCCATAAATATTTTATTACTTAAAAAGGGAAGCAGTGTTTGCTTCTAATTGTTTTTGATTAAATATGCTAATTACATTTTGGAATATTAATGACACATACAGTACTAAATGTTTTAATAATGCAATGAAATAAGCTCGCAAATATAACAACAAATTAACCTGAAACTGCTACATGGTTTTCATAATTTTATATTATAATACAAATCTGAGAGAAAATAAATCAAAGTCCAACCAACATTTCTGGCTTGCCAGTTAAAATTCAACTAAACTAAAAAATCCAAAAGAAACCAGAAACCACAACATTCTGGGCACCTTTGTAATTATAGTATGCAAGTTAATTAATTAATTAAAAAATTGAACCATTCCATTAACAGCATGTTGACCATGGGATGAGTCAGAGCAGATACAGAGTTGTTAAGACTTTAATCCAGTTAACTCATTCTAGGGTAAATCCTTTACCCAATTTGTAACCTGAATAATCAGGAAAATTCTGCAGGCATTCAGGAGGATGGAATTCTTCTTCATCCAGGCTTCAAAGCAGGGCAGCTACTGTCCTGTTCCACCCCTTTCCACCTCATCAGAGCCACCTCCATGAGGTGGACTATCCAACAATTCTGTTTAATCAAGGAGCTACTGGTCCTGCTTGTTCTCTGCTTCAGTCCACGGGATCCCTGCATAGACCTCTGCACAAAATCTAGGCATCTTGTCTCTCCGGCACATCAGTACTGGTTTCATAATAGTTAGCGCACACACCATGGTTTTAGCCCGATACCAAAGACAGAGTCTGCATTTGCATTTGGGAGGTATAGGCAGTTATGCCATAGCTGTGCTCCTCAATGTAGCCAGTTGAAAAAGTGGGGGGAAAGTTGCAATAAATACTCACCATAAGTAACACTAAAAAGAATGACAGTGGTGGAACTCATACTATTAAAATGGTGGTTCCCATAATGTGGTGGTGGTCCATGGAGCACTTCCAGATGGTACACAGAGCTGCTTTCTTCACCAGGTAGAAGGCTCTGTTGGTCCTCAAGCACTGAGGGAAAACAAAGAGGTGCCAGAAGGTTAATAAATGTGTTAGATGTTTTAGGCAGAGAGTTGTCTTGTAAATTCTACTTTGGGATGAGTTCAGGACCAGACTTAGGACTTACTGGACAAAAATCATCCCTTTCATAAATGGGTGAAAGTCCTCAATGGATTTACACTTGCTTACACAAGGGCTGAATTAGATTGATTTTGAAACAAACTTTTTTTTTGAGGATCAACAGCAACAAGCTATAACTTGTTTACAAATTATTTTTCATTTCTGCGTGCCTCTGCCCTTCCTCCTTCTGTCCCAGACTGGAAGCAGAGTCTTGAAATATTGTGAGAAAAGCTATTCTCGTAGTATTTCTGGTCCAACGGGAGACAGGAAGTAGTGAAAATCATGTTAAAGTATTTATTATTGGGACATTTGCAGACCCAAAGGGTTCAGATGGTTTGGAGAAGTATCAAGTATTGTGGGTTCTGATCCTCTTTGAATCATTTGGTGTTCAGCCTTTACTTGCAGATTCCCAAGTTACAGAGGACCTGATCCTATTCCTAATGACATCGATGGGAGTTTTGTCACAGCCTTCGGTGGGAGGTGAATCAAGCCCAAAGTAACCTGAGGAGAGTTTTCAGCTCCTTCTTACTTTCTGCTCCTTGCAGGATTGTACATCAAGATGGTGATTCATTAAAGAAGGACCTTTCAAAGATAGTTGCTGGTAAGATCTACTTTCCAATGCATGCAATAACATAATAGATCTCAGAGATATGGCAAGACTGCATATGAGTGGACAGTGAATAAACATACGAGGAGCTAATTAAAGATATAAACTGAGATCAGAAAACTTTTTGAAAGGCAATGCAATGTAAATGGAATATTTAAATATCATTCTTTGGAACTGGAGGTATTTTAACCTCACAGTCAAGGCCAAAACCAGAGAATCAAACAAAGGAAAAAGCACTATCTGGTCACAAAGGTGTAATATGAACTAAAGATAGGGCAGTGACAACAGAAGGCTTTATCCGACTGCTCTTTCAGTAGCTTTTGATTCCCACCCAAGGGATAACTCACCTCTTGGGCTCCATCAATCCACTTCCATTCTATGAAACCTCTGCCACCTCTCAAATCTGAGAGTGATGAATTAGGGGAGACAGTGTGTTGCTGTGTACATGTCTGCACAGAGGTGAGTTGAGAATATTCATCTCATTTCACTTGTGACCTTTTTTTATTCAGCAAACCTGAAAGGTCTGGGCTGCATAATCATATCTTGGGACACAAGATAAGTGAACTAATATATAAACAGTCTAATGTTTACATGACCTTATGATTTTACAGACCATATAAATTTTTAATTGGACTGTTAAAATATAGTAAACAGCTATTATACAAATTAAGTGGTAATAGGTATTTTTATTTTTATTCATGAATTAATCTTAAAGTAAGCTGATTACATAAATCTTCAGCCAAGCAGTAGCTAATCCTAGGCACAAACATTATTTTGACAAGATACATTCAAACAAACATTTTTGTGGCAAAATGTTATCAGATACTAGCAAATAATTAGGCTAAGACATTCCCTTCAATGTGAGCATTTTAGAGCTGTGATCATTAAGTGAAGGTACTGGGAGCAATCCAAAAGGGAACACAATATTGTAAGCACTTCAGAGTTCCTTTGTGGATTCTGATTAGGCTGCTGGACTCACTGATGTTTTCTTAAGTAAACATATTCACATATTGCAATGGTGGGTAAATCTTTATTAAATTAATGGCAAACAAAATGATGTTCATGTGGAGGAAATTATTATTCACCAAAATCTGTATTGCATTTTCAAGAGAAAACAGGGGAGGTGTTGATTTAAACCACAAATGGAATGGAATTTCAGCTTAGCTCTGAGCATCCACACTGAGCCTGTAGCCCCTAGTTTATGTCATTGTGAGAAAGAAATGATAGAGAAAGAAAAACATGCCTGTGAGCATATGTTAAACCTGGAGTACCATTGCATACATTGAGCTCCTGCATGGATCTGAATCAGTTTTAACATTGCTTGTGTTTATTTCTTTACTTGCATTTACTCTGGTTCTCAAACAGTGGTATTTTTTTTAAAAAGTACCTGTAATAACATCGTTAACTTACCCAATAGTCTGAATGGACTATTGATTAGTAGGTAATAAATAAAGGAGGTTTTAACAATGCTTATTATTTACTGGATCTGGTAAATACCTAATTAGAGGGTTATTGAATTTGAACAATGGTTGTTTGACATGATAGAATGTACAGCAGTGGTGAGCAACCTGTGGCCCATGAGGGTAATCTGCTGGCGGGCCGTGAGACAGTTTGTTTACGTTGACTGTCCACAGGCACGGCCGCCCGCAGCTCCCAGTGGCCGCGGTTCACCATTCCTGGCCAATGGGAGCTGCGGGAAGTGGCAGCCATCACGTCCCTGTGGCCTGTGCCTCTTCCCGCAGCTCCCATTGGCCGGGAACGATGAACCGCGGCCCCTGGGAACTGCGGGCAGCCGTGCCTGCGGACGGTCAATGTAAACAAACTCTCTCATGGCCCACCAGCGGATTACCTGACAGGCCACGTGCGGCCCGTGATCCACAGGTTGCCCACCACTGAGGTAGAGGAATATCTTCTTAAGTGACATTATAGTCTATTGTGCAAAAGCCTACTTAGAGATTTTTTTGTCATAGGCTATATGTCTGATGAAGCTATTGGGTCAGTGACGTGGCTAGTGATACAACATCCTCTAATAGCTCCTTGAGAGTCAGTATCACTGTCTGTAAGGTGAGTGTTGCGATTACACATGCACAATACATCTTGATGCAAAAATATCCTTTGAATTTTTGTCTAATCACAAAAATGGACTAGACTAGAAATAAGCACTATGTAAAATGAAATACCCTGAGTGTTTTCCTTTGATCCCCAAAGAATACCTGAACCCATCCATGATCCTAAATTAGAGCACAGAGCTCAATCCTGTAATGTGCTGAATGTCTTCAAGCCCCACTGAATGTAAACATTCCGCACCTGACAAGATCAGGCCACAATGCTTAATTGTTAGCTAAATTTCAAAAGACTGAATTGCTAAGGCTTTGTATTGAATCTGTGAAAACGGAGTTATCAAATTCTCTGTACCAACAAACATAAAGTAGCATGATGAACATTGATATAATACTGAGGATTTCTCCCCATTGGGATATTTACCAAGGAGACATGCTGTTTACATTTAGTCTGACAACAGACAACAATACACATTCAGATGTGCTAACATACGTGTAAAGTAGACATTGGCCCAAGACCCCTGTTCAGATGTGGATTTCAAACAACCCAAATTCTGTAGGTGTTTGGGTCCATGGTTCTGGTTTAGCCCATTGCTGTACTGGGCTTTGGTTTAGCCCATTCGAAAGAAAAGAACAGTTGGAAATATCTGGATTAAGATTTTCACCCTACCCACCCAAAAGTGAAGGGGTATTGAGATGTGGAGTCTGGGGACCCACATCTAATCTATCAGGAGGCACAGCACAAGAGACATGGCAATGGGACTTTGGTGGCTTTACACTACCTCGCACCTTTGGGATCTAGGGGCTAAACTGTTGTTTCTCTAACTTATTTCAAGTGTCCCTGAGGGACCATCTGACAGCCCAGTACAGCAACATAGTAGTGTGTTCCAACCATACCTCTTATTTCCCCCAAGAGGTCCCCTCCCATCCCTACACTAGTATTTTTAGAGAGCCATTACACATCCCCACACTGCTCTGGGAATAATTTGCACCTGGTGTTATCTAGCAGTTTTCTGACCCCTTTGTTTTGGAGGAGCAATGCCAAGTGGCCAGAGCACAATTCAGAACTGGGGCTAATGCTTGGGCATTTATCTAATATAAAGATAAATAATATATCTTGAACTAATTTGCATAAGTTTTGCTTTATGCAAGGCTATATTTTAATCATATGTTTTTTTTCTCATTAGTTGCTAGAACTTGGCATGATCCAGATTCCTAATCTCAAATCAATGTTTAGGATAAGTACAGTATGTCTGAATGCCTGCAGATTTCCAAGAGTTAAGAAATAATATTTTTTACTGGAAGATGTGCATTTGAAAGTTCTCATAAGCAAACCAATTGTTTGGCTTTCCACTTACAATGTTTGGTTTCTTGTTACATGAAGTACAGAGCGTGTAACTAAGCTGCTGCTCATTGTTTAAAAAAGTAAACTGCAAATCTCTCCAAGCTGCTCTCTTGTTTTATTTCTAGATTCTCTTTGCACAAACACATACAGTACATACTGTAAAATGGATTATTATCCTAAATTGGGGCCTTGGTGCATAACAAGTAAGGCAAAAACAAGGTTCAGTACAATTAACCAAAAACTTCAGCCAACATTTTAAATAATGACCATTGATTTTGGATGCCTCTCTTTTTCTATGCTCAATTTGGGACACTTCCAGCCACCCCCAGTCAGTGGTCCTCTTTTATGTTTGACCTTAATGTGCTGAAGAGGTAGCGACTGCAAGCCTTTGGCAAGCTAATCTGCCCAATTCCAGTGAAGCACAAAGACAAAATATACTGTACATTGGAATAACCTGGTTTAGAGAAAAGCAACAGAGGATCCTGTGGCACCTTTAAGACTAACAGAAGTATTGGGAGCATAAGCTTTCGTGGGTAAGAACCTCACTTCTTCAGATGCAAATAATGGAAATTTCCAGAGGCAGGTATAAATCAGTATGGAGATAATGAGGTTAGTTCAATCAGGGAGGGTGAGGTGCTCTTAATTAAACAAAGACTGTGAATGGCTATCCAACTACAGAAGCAGTTTCTCCTCCCTTGGTGCTCACACCTCAACTGCTAGCAGAGCACCTCACCCTCCCTGATTGAACCTCGTTATCTCCATACTGATTTATACCTGCCTCTGGAAATTTCCATTACTTGCATCTGAAGAAGAGAGGTTCTTACCCACGAAAGCTTATGCTCCCAATACTTCTGTTAGTCTTAAAGGTGCCACAGGATCCTCTGTTGCTTTTTACAGATTCAGACTAACATGGCTACCCCTCTGATACTGGTTTAGAGAACGCAGCATATTTCAGTAAGTGATATTCACCCACTAGAGCTTTGCAAAAAATCTCACCAGCAATCAAGGTGCCTACATGTTCAGCAGGGAGCACTAAATCTTAGCTTTTCTGATCTGCAGCAGAGCCTGAGGGAACAGTCCTGCTGGAATGGAGTTTACAGAAAGATATGCAGAGTGGCTGCCTGCAGTAATCACTCTGGTGCCCCCTGCTGCCACTCCTTCTGCCAAGTGTCTCAGGCTTAGGCCCAAGACCAGAACATCCCGAGAGCAGCCCTGCTCTCCATCCACCTTCTCACTTTCCCTATCCTTTCTCCTTGGTGAACTTCCCCAACCACATTTTTCTCCTTCCCTTATTGCCGTTCTGACCACAAACTTGGCCCACTAGCTCTCTCTGTAGTTTTGTGATCCCAAGAAAGCTCTGACAGGAGCACACAGATTGTCAGAACCAGTCTACTGCAGCTGTTGCAGTTGTCCATACACCCTGGAGCATGGGAGTAGCCTGTTCTCCATCACTGTTGTCCTCTCCTTCTCTGTGTGGCAAGGAATAGTGTGGGAGCAACCATCAGAAGCAGGTGGATCTGAATCCTGCATGCTAAAAAGAAGAGCGGGAGTTATCTGTAGTTTCCACCACAAAGGATCACTAGCTTCGGGGAAATATTTGACAGTTCAAGATGCTAGCTCTAAGCAGCTGCTTATTAACTTTATTCCTAAAACCACTAGTGATCGAATATTTGAACTAAAATCTGACACACCCAGGGTAGTGCTAGTTTGCAAAACCCAAGCTTCCTCTGATACATCAGCCATTTATCGCCACACTTCCAAACAAGCAGTCCCTCCACCAGGACTGTGGACTAACATGAATCCTACCCTAGCAATAATTGTATAGGGTGTATACCATTTCTTGTTTAAACCAATACACAGGGCCTGATTTTTCCATTGCCCTGAACATTACTACATTGAAATCACAGTGTTTTCACCCACTGACACCATAGGCAGTGGCACTGAAACTGTGTCCAGACAATGATTTTATAATGCTTGTAAACACAGTATTAAATGCTAGGTCTGCAGTGGCAGAATGTCATGTTCTACTGACATAGTTGCAGTGCTCATATGGACACGGCATAATATAGCTGAGGGGACAACCTGTCCAGAAAAATAAAAAGAAGAAATAGAAAGTGGGTGATGGTTATTAGCCAGCCTATGAATCAGAGAGTAACAGGCATAGAACAGTATCAGAGGGGTAGCCGTGTTAGTCTGGATCTCTTAGGCATAGAACAGACATTCATTCATGAGCCTGGATGCCCCTGACTATACCAGGTTGTGAGTTAATTACTTCTTAAGGAGGCGGCCTCAGCATAGCCTCACTCATTCCTGCTATATCCACCCTCTCTTTTCTCCTCCCTTTCCCACCATGCTTTCAGGCTAACAATCACACTGTTCTTTCTTTCCTTCTACATCCCTTTGGCTGTTTTTGTCTACTAGGGACCTATTCCACTCACTCTATTTCTCCAGCTCCATTCTCTATGCCCCGCTCATTCTGTTCCTGAATGACATTCACATATGGGTGGTACTATACTTCGTATTACACTCTCAATATGCTGTCAGGATCGTTTTGATATTGTCCTTGGCCATGCATCAAAACTGTTGCCAAAGTAAATTTAAAAGCCACACTCAGCAGTTAGAACCTCATCAAACGTTGAATTCTGATGGTAAAATTTCACCTCTATAGCTGGGTTCAAAATTAAATTGAAATATGTTTGCATCAATAAAAATGTGTTTGCATCAATAAATGATGATACCTAGCACTTACATAATACTTTTCATCCATAGATTTCAGTGTGCTTTAGAAAGAATAAGTATCATCAAAGTTTTACAAAGCGGATACTGGGCGCAGTTCTTGGCTATAGCAGAAATGTGCTTGGCACAAGACCCAAGGTTGACTTTGTGTCACATTTGCATTGTGCTGGCTGGGAGCCTACTCAGCCTCTGGCACAACTTAGTATAGCCTGGTTCTAAAATGAGCCTTGCTGACCATGGGCCCTCCCTTCCAACCCTGATATTCTATGATTCTATGAAATGATTGTTCCTGAATCTTGGGGTAGATGGAGTACAGCAGCTCCCCATCCATGCCCCTTTTGGCCAGATATGCCCAGATAAGCTTAGGTCAGTCAAGTTGACTTCACAGCCCCTTTGTGCTATCAGAATGACCTAACAGGGCCTCATAGGGCCAGCTAATCTGTATCAGTTACATTATTTCCATTTGTTTGCAGTTGGAGAAAGTGAGGCACAGGAAAGGCAAGTAACTTTACCAGTGTCACACAGCAGGTCAGGAATAGGTTTCAGGTCTCCAGACTCCCAGGTCCATCCCATATACACTGAACCCTTTGTTTCCATAATTGTATAGCAGCTCTCAAGTATGGAAGTCATCGCAAATATTCTGTTATTTACTAATCATATACATTTTTATGCCATAATATTCAATGTTTTTTACATTCAATATGGTATTTTCATCTCCTTTTTTCTTCTAAATCTAAAGATGTAACATTTAAAGAAAAAGGAATCTTCAGCAAGAAACAGTCCAAATAAGCATTACAATTTTCAGTTTTCAATTACTCTAGAAGCGTAATAAGAAAACTCCCCCTACAGGCTTTCTCTTGTTAATGCAAGGTAAATATACATTTTCAGGCAATGATTTGTCCGGCTAATTATATGGTAAGTTATAAAGCCTGCCCAGAATACGTTAATTGCCTTCATAGCGGAAGAAGTATTTTCATCACACTATTGTATAGCTCATTTTCTTTATGAGATGAATAATGCAATCAGAACGCCCACTCTCCTTTCCTCAATCTCTCAAAACAAAATAGACTAGTTTAACTACAAATGTGAAAGTTGCATTTGCAAATGGCTAACAATTATCCTGTGCATTTTTGCTCTTTATTACCAGAACTGCATTAGAACCCATGGGCCTAGAGCCAGGGATTACAGGGTCTGAAGCAAACAGTACTTCCTCATTGCCACCAGCTGCCCACAGAGGAGTACCACCAAGAAGTACTGAGATGTTAAGCCCTGCAGGAAGTCTCAACATAAGGCACATGAGCAACAGTCCTGATTCTGTGATTGGCTGGCACTCTCCATATAAACCAGGAAGTCACTTCTGGAAGTTGTGTGAGCAATGCAGACCTCTGGTGTGCTTCTGCCTGAGATGCCACTCCCTGCTGCGACTCGCCTGGATCCTGGATACTTGACCTTGGCCCAGCCTCTGACCCTGATCTTGGTTTACTATCTTCAACTTAGGGCCATTGCTGACGCTGGTGGAAGACCTTGGCCCAGCCTAACCCCTATTCTCACCTCAGGCTCTCAATTTGGTAATGGACTCTGACTCTGAGGTTTTGACCTGGCCAGTCCCTGGACTGACCTTCAACTCTTCAGCCCAGACACTGAGCATTTCACCCTGCACACAAGCCACCAATGATCCAGCCCTGGCTACTTGGCAAAAACATGTTTTCTTTTTACCTATTTTAAGAGAAGAAATGAATGAGAAAATTATTTCCTTCTTTTCTACTGAAAAAGTTAGTACTACTTTATTTACCAAATGTCTGTTGTCTTAAGACATTCATCATGAACTAACATCATAAACTGGATACCAACAAACCAAGTGCAGCACATTTCTAAGTAACATTAACAAATACATGTTTAAAGCTCCAAGTTATATTATTATTTTAAGTTTCAGAGAGGATCTGTATTGTGCATATGTGTTTTGAATACGTTATAGATCTGAAGTGTATCATATTCTGTATTCAGTATCTGATGGTGAAAGCATAGATGGAAACTATGATGTTCTTCTTGGTGATATTTACGTAGGTTCTGTGACTGGCTTAAGGTTTAAATAAAATCTGATCACAAAACAAATTCCCGTATTCCAAAACAAAACGACCACCACCGCCTCACCTAAATTAGAAAAGAACAAGTATGTCTTGATAAACTTGATCTTTATATGGCTAGCTCCTTTCTAGTGCAGCTATTCCTTTAGAACCCTCATTTTCTGGTGGTCAGAGTTTATTATTTAACATAAAACTTTTTTGTGCATTGGAATTTTTCTTCCCTCTTCCACCCCTTGCTTTTATTGAACCCTTTATGAAATTCTGTGGATTGGATAAAATGCAAGCCAGAACTAACCCCTATTTGATTTGTTTTTTTAAAACCAAAATTAACCAGAGACTTTGCAAAAACTCAGCTTTCTTACTCCATCTCTATTTTTTAGTTATTTAATTTATTTCAATAGTATTTCTAATCATGTTGGTGGGAAAATATCGGTTTAATTTTACTTAACCAACAAAAAAGATAGGACAGTGTAGTGCTACCGCCATGTGTTAGAGAGAGGCCACTCGGTTCTATAAATGCAGTATAGGTCAATTCAGCCTGGCTCAATGGCTGATGCACACGCACCTACGGAGATGAGAGAAAAAAACAAAAGAAACACTGGTTCTGTAGATCTCCCATTGCTAGATTCACTTTTTTAAAAACAAGGTGCCCAACTTTAGAGTGCAGGATTCTTCTGTCTGTAACAGCACCCTAAGAATAATGAAAATACACTTCCAGTATAGGCTGGATGGTGGGCGAATCACCTAGTACTCAAAATTTGTAATAACATTTGCCAAACACAACTTTTTAGTTCTTTCAAAAGGGTCTTTCCTAACCATTGAAGATATTTCATCACAGAAATTGTCTGTCACCAATATGAAGACAGCCTAATTTTGCCTGGAGAGTTCATAGTCATTTTACCCTGATGAGAAGTGATAGTGTAATAGAATCTTGCAAAATTAACCAGCTTAGGCACAGAATCTTCCCACTCATCCCATGATAGTAATTAAACAATGGAATATTTTAATTTATCTTTAAAAACGTTTAAAAAAATACGTGCTCCTTGTGAGTGAGTGAGAAGAATTTTGCAAAGCAGCAGTAAGATAAATGAAGAATGACTAAGTCAAAACAAACTTAGTGGACTTCATAACCAAAGTGAGGAACCTCGCTGGCTCATCTTGTACAGATGCTGCCTTTGGATTCAAGCCATGGTAATGTTCAGGATGAGGATGGAAGTTAAGGTATCTGTCAGTAGTACTGTAATAGTGTAAGAATTTCTTGTATTTATGGATTTCCTTTGGTTATAAATGGTCCCTTCTCATTGTTTTCTAACAGGAGGTACAAACACCAGATAACTGGCACCATACGCTTTGTTCTGCTGTTGCACTGTCGTTGCTGACTTCCCAACTGGGCAGTTCAATGAGGTGGAAGATATTAACTAAACTGGCAGCCATAATTAAGTGGGTGGAGGTGAGGACATCTGCTCTTCATATCTTGAGTTTGCCAACACATTTTAGGCATGTCCAGCTTTCTGTTGTTGCAAAAGCCCCTACAAATATATCAAGTGTAGTTCAAACAAGTTGGAACCTCCTGCTTGGTTTGGAAAATTTTGGCAAGCTTTTTTCCTTCTGCATCTAGCTAATAATTTTTCTGGTCTTCACAACATGGGCAAAGTGTCTCCAGATTTCATGTGATATTCTAACAGATGTTTTGTGATTATATACAGTATGTATAACCACTTTGTCATTGCATTAATTCAATTGGCATAATTTTTGACACAATTATCCATGGCTGTGAAACACTAGGGTCAAAGTATGTTCAGTATTGGTACTGTAACTCCTGCAGCAGACTGACTGCTGTATGTCATTTAAAAAAAAAATCTTCATGTGTACATGTTTCCTGTTTGTTTATTTTAGAATACCTGACCATAGTAGAACGGACAGACTTGAATGTTGTCTAATGTGCAGTAACTGACATATAAACTGTGTTTTTCAATGACATTTAATTTTAAATTGTTTTAATCACTATAACACATAATAGGTATTAGAGAGTAATGGAATCATATGCATGTTGATGGTATGTTGGTGATTTGGAGGAACAAAATAGAAGAAGCTATGAGGGCTATGTCTGCACCAATGAATAAGGGAATGCAGTCAATATTTGTGAATGAGGTTTACCACTGTAGCCAAGAAGGCACTTTCCCAGCTGCATCTGGCAAGGTGAGACAATTTTTCTTTCAGAGGCAGACATCGCCGCTATAATCCATGCCTTTGTCATCTCAAATCACCTTGGCCCTATTCCATACCTGGCCTAGCTTTTGCTACTATAACAAGCAGCATAGATGAAGAATGCTCACTCCTTCTGTCTCAGTCATGTCCAGACCTGAGTCCAATCCACACAAACACCAGTGTGTCTGAATTATCCAGCATCTCAGCAGTACTGGTAAAACACCCCCTCTGTTTCCTTACATAATTACCCAAAGGTCACTTTTTGGATCACCTCAACCTTTCTCTGCTCAGTCCTCAACTTACTTTTATGGCTCAGTGGAATCTGTCAAGTTACATATGTATAATTTTTGCATAATGGGACTGAGTCTCTCTCATGGTTATGAAACAGAAGTAACTTCACTGAAATCAATGCAACTACATCAGTATACGACTAGTAAGAGAGGCTTTTCTGTGATTTTTAATCAAACAAATGTCCACTGGGCCTCTTGTTAGCAATCTCCCAGCCCTAAATCAGGATGAATCTGGACACCTACAGATTCAGCGATCATCTTTATCTTTCAGCCTTTGTACTTCCATCATATTTAATATAAAATTATGACTAAGCAGGACTACAGAATAGAGCTCCACCTTGTCTCTTCCATTCCCCCTGCCACCGCTTCCCCATTCCTTTGCATAATGTTTCATCAGGTGGTGACTAGTGATGAGTAAAACTTTGAGTCTGATGAGGAAAATTTTATGGCAAACTGAAAAAAAAGTTTAACTGAGTGATGGTTGGTTGTAGGAAATATGGTTGGCAAAGAGCATCATAAATTGGAGTGTGAAGTATGGTTTACTATGTATTGCAACAAGGAACAAAAAAAATAAGCGGTATTTACCAATCACATGAACAAAAACTTCATGAAGTTCATCCCTTTACTCCCAAGAACAGCAGTAGCATTAGAATAGGTCCACCCTGTTGATCCAATTTTCCAACAACAATGCTGAAATATACAGTGATAAAGAATTTAGGCCCAGATCTTCAAAAAATGTAAGGATTTGGGTCTGAGTCTTTTTCTGGATGGCAAACAATACATTAACCACCAAGAAAAAGCAATTTATTGATGCCCCATAACAAATTCCTGTGCAATATCCCAGAGTTAACAATGGGCTAATGGTTCAGCTACCCTTAAAGGCTTATAGGATTGGATAAGCAATTTCAAGGAAATAATCTGAATATACAAAATAAAAAAGAAGGAAGTGATGTTCTGTTAATGCATCTCTTTTACTATGGCAAGGTTTGGGGGTGTTTTTAATGGAAAAGATAAATGTAAAGTGCAATATTCTTAAGTACCTTCTTGGATCATTGTATTAGACTGTACACTTATTACCTGAGTACAGGCTAAAAAAATTTTTAAAGCAACAATAAATGTTATTTACTCTTCCTGACATACAAAATCTGCCTCACCTCTATTTCCAATATGAACTGAATTTTACATTTACTAGTAATACTATATGCAACCTCACTGAAAATCTTTATATAATTTCTATCGTGTCTTTAAAATTTGCACAAGCGTAAATCTCAATAAAATCTCTTAAATAGTTTACATCCATCCGACTAAAATGGTTCTTAAAACATTTTGCTCTGTATTCTGAAGGTTGAGGAAACACTAGCTTGGCTAATTACCTCTGCGAGTTCTATCTGATTTTTCTCCCACAATAGGGGATGATTTCCCCATTCTGTAACCCAGATTGTCTTATTTTTATTATTTATACATTACCACAGGAGTGCATTACACTCCACAGACAAATAGACGACAGGTTGCCCAGTTGTCTTCTTGCTTACTTTAATTATATACCAGTGCAACTTTAGTGACAAACTAAATGACTCCTGATTCATACCTGTTTAAATGAGAGGAGAATTAGACTCAGAGTAAGGCCCAGACTTATGGCCTAAGGCCTGTGCAAAGATCTTGTTAACCTGCGTGGATTTGATTGCAAGTATCATTTAACCAACCTGTACTCTAAGAGGTTTTCTAAGAAATACTTTTAAGGGTTAATCACAGAATGTGATGCAACCTCCAGCACTGGAAGACCTTATTTTGCCTTTTTTTTTTTTTTTTTTTTGTCAAAAGTTGACACTCCCCCAAATTGTACAGGTTAGCGTGCTGCAAAATTTGGTTTAGACTTTTTTTTTAACATAGCCCTCCAAGTCAAAGATTATCTGGCAAATTGTGACAGAGTACATTAAGAAATAAAATAATTAAGAGAAATAGATAAATCCAATTATAGATTTGTTTATACAACATAAACTGCATCATCTCTTTATATTCATTTTCAACCAACTGCACTATGACCACTTTGAAAATTATTACAAATGATTTATATGCCAACAAAAAAGTCCTGAGTTTATCAAAAAAAAGTGCTCCACAATTGAGACATGAAATGCCATTTAGGCCTGGTGCACCTTGCTTTCACAGCAGATTAGATGGATGGACCGAGGTTCCTGCAACAGTGGCAAGTATTACATAATACTCCCCAGAGGACATGAGAATGACTTTGAACATTTTATTAGATTTTTATTAGACTGTGATACTGGTTTGCAGGAGCCAGGTTATCCAGCTGCTCACAAATTATGGTAATGTGAAATACTGTACTGAATGCTCTGGACTGCCCTTAGGTTCCCCTGGAGTATACAACTCTGAATTAAAGGTTGTTAACTCCTTGGCACTTGGGAGGACAGACTGTCCCAGTGTGAAGCCTGTTGCCTGCACTGTATTCATTTTGCCATGAAACAAAAGAGATGAGCATGTGACATGATGTATTTTACAAGGTGCTTAACAAGAACATGATTGGGAAAAACTGAAATCCATGAAATCAATGCCATAACCTTATATTGTTTGTTCTTGGTGGCTGCTGGAGTGCAACAAGATCAATGTTAGGACAACATTATTCACTTTAAATATCAATGACCGGAGCAGAAGTAGAGTAAAGTAAAAGGATTGAATCTGCCAATGATACAAAAATGGGAGACGGCACGGGAGGAGAAAATACAAAAGAGAAAAGTGATACGATTTAAAATTACTTGAACTGGCAGATGAGTAGATAAGTGGAGCATGCAATTCAATATGAAGAAATGTAAGATAAAGATATAAATTGGGGGAAGTAAATCTCATTCCTATGCTCTCAGTCATCTTTCACAACAAATTACTGAGCATTTCACCAGTAAAATATAGGGTGTGAATGGGTGGTTTAGTCTTGTTGGAAGTATGAGGAGAAAGCAAAGGGCAAACATTGGTAGAACAGAAGATTTGTCAAAGGTAGGATAACTGAGTATGTAGTTAATAGGATGAGCTGTGGGTAGCAAGGAAGAAAGCATTGGGTATAGAGTGGGCCTGAATGGAAAAGCCTATAGAAGAGCGATAGTGTACTCAAGACTTCAGCCCACAAATGATAGCTATAGTCAGTGGCAAAGGGATCAAGAGAGCACAGGATCTGAAGCCCAGAAACTCCCTTAAGAGTGGGTGAGGTTTGAGTAATAAGAGTTACCCATTTCCTTTCCCCACTTCTCTCAAGCAGGTTTCTGTCTCGATAGCACAGTGGGATCAGGACCTCTCTTTTGCACCAGGTTATTTTAATAGGTGCAGAACTGGCCTAGGTGGAGTCAACTGGCTAACATTCTCCTTATAGCCATGCCTGACAAGGCCAGGATTTGGCTCTTCATAACAGCAGGGTTATAAGTTGAACATAAATCCTGTTGTCAAGGGTTCTTATCACGCCTGAGTTCTATTCCATGGTTTTGGCTTTCTAGTTTAAGGGCTAACATCTTTTCATGTTGCTTTGACTAGAATCTAAAGTTCAGTAAACAGCTGTGACTAAATCTGAATGATGGCAAACCTCATCAGGCTTGATCCAAGCTGTATCTACATTTTCCACTGAAAGACCCAAAACAATACTGCAGCATAGTTCTTCACTGTGGCATGACTGTATTCAGATAAATTGGTCATGTACTATAATGAAAAAAAACCTTTTCTTGTGCTACTTTCAGCACTGGAACCAAATCTAGACCTGGCAGTTTTTACAATTTCAATCCAAGACCAACCTTCAATAAGATCACACAGCTCTAATGATTGTTAGTGAAAATGTAATGGGTCATTTGAAATACAAATGAACATTGGTGGGTAAAGGGATTTTTCTTTTTCTTTTTTCTTTTTTTTTTGTTAGGGGACTCAATTTACACTAGCTACTTAAAATATTAAAATAAAAGTAATAACATTAAATATAAAGCTCAAAATCCACTGAAAACATTAGTGGCCATATCTGCCAAAAAAAAAAAAAGTAATACTGCCAAGAACAGTAGGACAGATTCTGCTCTCATGCACTGATGTTAAGCCAGAATAAAATGATTTAAATAGGCTTGGTCTGGAATTGTACTGGTGTAAATGGGAGCAGAATTTGACCTACCATTCCCTTTTAAGCATTTTTATGAAATGTCCCTATTTGTTCATGACTATGTAATTAATTTCCCCCCTCAGGATCAACGAAAACAAAACAAAACAAAAACAAAAATTCTGTCCTTTTTTTCCCTTGAAAAACATTTTAGCTAACTAAAGCAGATGCAAGACTAAGATCATGAAAATTTAAATAATTATTTCCTTCCAAGGAATTCATGTAATTGCAAGAGTATATTGTGAATTACTTCCTCATCTCTATAGGATTTATCGTAACGTTAACATGCACTAATTGAGTTTCACTCACATCTGAAAAAAGTATACAGTGTTAAAGAGATGTAACAGCATGAAGATGAAGAAATAAAAAATTGGCAAGCAATTCCTTCTGCTTATAAGTTAGCATAACCAGACAGCCCCAAGCAACTCAGTATCAGAATGTGACAAAGGGGATCCATCTTGGAGTCCTGAGAGCAACCTCTTATGTATAGTTTTGGCAGGCTATGAAGGCAAGATTTCAACATCATGTGGAACAAAATGTCTTTTATAGTCTATCTAGCACGTATTCTGGCCAGCACACGGAGTAGCATTGATTGGGCTAGGAAGAACTGCACCTGCAGAAAGAAGAGTACAACACAACATTGGGCACTAGAAAGACGAAGAAAAAGAGACTAGGCGCTCAGTGCCCTCTTTGAAAGGTTCATTCATGTACCCTTGACCATCTTGATATATGAGCTATGTTAGTGGTGGTCTCTGACCTGTGCTATCAAGGAACAGTGTCTTTGTGAAACCTTAAGGATCCCACATTCACAGAACACCCAAAGAGCAGATGGGATAGACCCCAAAATCAAAATGCAAGAATGATATGACTAATCATGCCATTTTCAAAACTTAATCTCCAGTCCTATTCCAATTATAAAGGCCAGATCATGCCCATCTCAAATTTTAAATCACATAGGATAATCTCACAGATGCGATGAGGTCCTAAACTAACAAATTAGAATTAACTTTGGAATAAATATTGATGTCACACTGGATACTACGGCTACTCAAATACTATAGTAATGGATGCCTGAAAAATATCTTAGACACACGGATAATAAAGCACTGATGCCAGTCCCACCACAATACTGTTAGCTTATACAGACTCATGGGAAGTAATATGTGTCTGTAGGCTAGGATTCCAAAAACCAAACTCATTCCAGGACTCAGCAACCAAATGGATATACTCTAATGATTCCATTTTTGAGATGGAAGGTGTCCTACACATGAAGTCAAATGCAAAAAGCATGACTACCTCCACTTCCTTACCTCTCCTTGGCTAATGCTGTACCAAGTACTCATAGGAAAACAGCTAGCCAAATCTGGTTTTGTTGCCCCTCCACAATGATCTGACATCGTATACATGAAAAGGTCATGGAGGGGAATACTCATTATTTAAGAATTGCCATTTAGAAAAACATTTATTTGACCAACATTTTTTCAAACTACTTGGCCAGCTCTGTAGAACAGCCATGTAAAAAGAAGGGGAAAAAAGGAAGGGGGTGGGTGTGGGTGGTTTAGAACTTTAAAACCATTTTGATTTCATAGCACTACATTTGTTTTTATCCATGCTTCTTTTGGAGAAATACATAAGAGATCCATACTTGTCCTTTCAAACATTAAATAACATGAAGTACAGTATTTGCCCCTTTTTTTTCATTTTGTACTTCTTATTTAAATGATTTTGTGATGGCACACTAAGGCTAAAGAATAATTTAATTGTGCAACGTGATTTTCTTTTTAATTAACAAAGTTATATAATTTGGTAAGTTAGCACCTCACATAATACACGATTATTATTAAAGTAAATCTACTGTATTGCACAATGCTATTTTTATTATATTGGGGCTCCAAAATATAAGTTTTCAGCAATGAACAGCAGCTATAAGATCTTAAAGTGTGGATTTTTCATTTCACTAAAATATTGGTAGGGTTTTTACTGCCATAGTTTAGCATAGTTACACTACTCTACATGGGGGCGGCTCTATGTCTTTTGCCGCCACAAGCACGGCAGTCAGGTGGCAGTCAGGCGGCTTTCGGCGACGCGCCTGCGGGCAGTCCGCTGGTGATGCCGATTCAGCGGCGTGCCTGCTGGAGGTCCGCTGATGCCACGCCTT